GCAGAACGACTCTAGTTGCCAAGGAAGAAGCTCGTCAGAAGCACTGTGCAGGAGTCAGCAGAGAAAACTGATGAGAGCTGGAATCTGTAGGGAACTTGAGCTGAGAGTTCACCTGCTCTGGGGGAAATGAAGACGGCTCATACTGGGCCAGCGCCAACATTTGCAACACAACCAAGGAAGACAGGACCAGCATATACGGCCCAACCTCCATAGGGCTACCAGGACGTGAGTGTAGAATTTGCAAGTGGTCTCCTGAAGAACCGCCCATCGTTGTAACCAGCACCTTTGGCTCCACCTGTGAAGGCTCAGTATCTGTAGTCTGATCTTCTGAAGGTCAGCCTGGTTGATAACGGCAAGTAGACTCAGGGGCATGATCAGCATCACAGACACACTAAAGGAAGGCACAGAACTGACAGCTCAGGAGGCTGGAAGCAGAAATCAGGCCAGGCTGCATTTACGCACCCATCCCTCATCTAGACCTTCTCACATTTACTCCTCCTTTACTTAGTACCCAGTGTAATTCACCAGGCCAACTTTGGCCTGCTCTGTTCTTGTTCTCTCTCTGGGTCTTTTCCTCATCCCTCATCCTTTCCTTGTTCTACTTCTTTACATAAGCTTTCCTAAACAGCATAGCCTAGGCTGGTTTACAGAGTTTTCTGTGCCTCGGCCTCCTGAGATTTCAGATTGTTTTATTGTTTTAGGTTAGCTGGTTGCATGTCTTTCCTTCTCTTTTCATTCTTTCTTTACCCAAATGGCTTCAATTCCTCCCCGTCCCTTTTATTCTCCTGTCTATGTATGTTTCCCTTCTTTTCTTTTTTCTTTATACTTAATACAAATCATTAATGTTAGTCTGCTTTTATTCTTTTTCACTTTTATGCATGGCAACTAATGTATCAGCACACATAGGACTACCAGCGTTTATTTACTTCTTAAAACGATTGGTGCTTAAAGGGTAATTGCTTTTTATTTGACTATTACTGTACATTCATAGTGAGTCTGCCCTTTGATAGTGAACTGATTTTACAGAACTAGTCTGTCTCAAGGAGAAAGCTGGGGAACAAGCCTGGCAACCTGAATACCAGCCCAACAGAGGAAACCAACATCTCAGTCCTGCTATGACCTCATCCCTCTTGACTATGGATGCCTCTGATGAAAAATAAAGATGATTGAAGAAAAGATTGCAACCAATCACCCAATCCCTTATAAAACCTCAAAACAAAAATCATAAGAAACATGAGCAACCATGGTAACATGACTCCTCCAAAAGCCACTAACTCTGAATCAATGGCTCCAATGGCGCTAAATTAGGAAAAATCACAATGAATTCAAAAGAATGATTCTAAATATGCCAGAAGAAATCAAAGAGAAAACGAATTCTCAAAGCACACAAACAAACATCTAACTGAAAGAAGGAGGCCAGTAGAGAACACAAAAGTGAAGTCCAAGACTAAGAAATATGAAAGAGAAAGAATTCTGAAAATGAAAACCCAACATGCCAAACCAAAAGCTCCATGGAAAGTCTTAGTAACAGAATGGGTCAAGGATAGACAGAGTATCAGTGCTTGAAGACAGGGAGAGAATCTGGGAAATTCAGAGACACTGAGAAAGATAAATATATTTTATTGTGTAATAGAACACACAAGACCTATAGGACACCACAAAAAGTTTAAATCTGCAGGTAATGGGCAAAGGAGGAGACAAATGTCAAAGGCAAGGGAAACATTTTAAATTTTTCTTTTACTGAAAATAGGTTATTTTCAATATATTATATAATATATCCTAATTACAGAGTCCCCTCCCTATCTCTCTACCTCTCCCAGTTCCTCCCCACCTCATCCATTCCCTTTCTGTCTCTCCTTAGAAAATAATAGGCTTCTAAGAGATACCAACAAAACATAACAAAATAAAATATAATAATATAAAACAAGAACCATCATATCAGAGTTGGATATGACAAACCAACATAAGGAAAAGAGCCTAAGAGAGGCACAAGAACCTACTCCTCGTTCACTTACTGAGGAGTCCCATAAAGACACTAACCTGGAAGCCATGATACACACACACACACACACACACACACACACACACATAAATTCAGTAGACCTGGTGCAGACCCATGCAGGTCCTGGGCCTGCTGCCTCCATCTCTGTAAGTTCAGAGGAACTTTGTTCAATTGATTTAGATCAGTGGTTCTAACCTTGTGGGTTATGCAACCCCCATAGGGGCCACATAAAAGATATCTTGCATATCAAATATTTATGTTATGATTCATAGCAGTAACAAAATTACAATTATGAAGTAGCAACAAAGTAATTGTAGGTTTGGGGATTAATCTATGACTCTTCAGAGAATTGGGCTTTATAAAATTTCATGCATCCATGTTCAGTACATACATGTCTAAAATTATAATATCTTTGGTCAGTAAGAAGTGACCCTTTGACAAGATACAAGGTCAAAGCCCATTTTTTTTCAGATATGAGAACAGCGACAGTTTTATGTTTCTGATTCCATTGGTTTGGAATTCCTTCTCTGTCTTTTCTCTCTAAAGACATGTACCTTTATACATGTACCTTTGATGATGAGGTATGTTTCCAGGAGACAAGCATTATAAACACAATTAAGAAATGATTGTATTATAGATAGAAAAGTGTTTACTATAGATTATAGAAGATCTGTACAGTGTTGTAACTGGGTACAGAAAGGCACAGAAAAGTTTTGAGTATTGGGAGTATAGAACCTTAGTAATTTATGGCAGAGCTGTTATTTTAAAAAAGTTAAAAAGCAAAAGTTAACAGCAATGCTTATGAAATTACTCCACAGAACAGACAGGAAGAAATGTTATAAAACTCTTTTATGAAGCCTGATACCAAAACCAGACAAGCTACACAGAAAAGAAACTTACAGACTGAGCTCCCTGATGAACATATATGCAAAACTTCTTGATAAAATATTTGCAAAGAGAATCATATTTAAAAGATTATTTACCCTGATCAAGTTGGCTTCATCCATAGATGCAGAGATGGCACAACATGTATAAGTTCAAGGAATTTTATCACATAAATGTGTATAAGGACAAAAATCACATGATCATCTCCATAGATGTAGGAAGGGCTTCTTTCTAGCCTAGCATCCCTTTGTGGGAAAGACAGGAGGAGACTATGAGAAACAGACCTCAACATGATAAAGACTGCATGATAGACTTCAGTTCGACAGTTTACTTATCAGGGGAAAGCTCAAGCATTCTCACTAAACTCAAGAACAAGACAAGTATGGCTGCCTTTCCAACTCTCACAAAATGTAATACTTAAAGTCTTAGATATGGGAATACACAAGAAGAGAAAATAAAGCTACACTACTCCCGAGTCCAAGTCAACATATCACAGAGACACAAGCACATCAAAGGTTATTGCCACACTAGCCACTAAGTGATGAAATCAACCTCAGTGCCCCCAAACAGAGGAACAGATACAGAATATGCAGAACACGTATAATATAATTTTTACAGTCAAAAAAGAATAGTTATGTCTTTAGCAGGAAAGTGTGTGCAACTGGGCTCAATCCTATTCATCTCAGAAAGATAAATACTGTCTATTTTCTCTCACTTGGGATCCCTATACTTTACACAGATATATAAACTTTTCTATGTATACATGATGTGAAAGTAGACATAAAACTCTAGAAGTTCAGAAAAGGACATCTAAAAAAGGGAAAAGGGCCAAAAAGAACAGTAGGGTGTTGTGCACTGAATACGCTCCACATACAATATACACTTGCATGAAACCTTTTTAAGACTTAAAAATGTCTAAGAGAATCAGTGTAGAGACATATTCTCCTGTTTCACACTTTATATTGCACAGTGACTTTGATCAAATTTTCCTTCTTCATGCTGCCTTTAACACTTTTCATTGTCAAATAAAATCTTTCATTAAAAAATACTACCATGGTACTTTATACTTTATAGTTTGGAGACAAATCGAGTCATAGACCACACAGCTCAGAAAGCAGATTTGAATTATTATTATTCTTAGTAAAAACTTTCCATTCTAAGGCCCTGGGCATTTTCCATTCTGCCTAGAAGCTGTTAGCAGCTTCCATCTCTGTGTTACCTTTCTCACTAGTCATGTTACAATTTCTAGCGACGTCTCTGTCTTTCCCAACCTTTTATTAAAACCCATCATTTATTGAGCTCAACAGCTTTAAGGAATATCTGGCTATTAAAAAGTCTATAGAAACAAAGCCAACATCTGATGTGGGATTCCCCTCTATATGCTGTGAATATCATTGGTTAATAATGGGACTGCTTTGGGCCTATAGCAGAGGTATAGGGGAACAGAGCTAGGTGGGAAAAACTAAACTGAATGCTGGGAAAAGAAGGGTGGAGTCAGGGAGAAGCCATGAAGCCCCAGCTAGAGACAGATGCTGGGAACTTTACCTGGTAAACCATTTCTACATGGCGATACACAGATTAATGGAAATGGGTTAAATGAAGATGTAAGAGTTAGTCAATAAGAAGTTAGAGCTAATGGGTCAAGCAGTGTTTTAAATAATATGGCTTCTCTGTGAACATTTTGGGGCTAAGCAGCCAAGAACTAACAAGTAGCCTCCTTACAGTAAAGATCTCATTCATTTGCAAACTATTTGGTAATAAGGGAATGTTGGTGCTGTTATTATCAACATAACTTGTATATGCTCCAAAGAGCTTCTTATTGTAGTTAATGAGTCTAAAACCATTTCAAATAATAAACTGTCCTTCCAGACCTAACATTAAAACAATTTAATTTTCCGGAGAAATAATATGACTTCTCTATTGTCACCAAACAGTATTTAGACAACTAGTTAGAGATTGTCATAACAACCCCAAACTTCTAAAACTTCCTTTCCTTCCCCTTCCATTCATTTACTTTAGAAGCAACACAGTATTTTGGATGACCCTATCCACAAAACCTGATTCAAGCCAGCCATTTCTGACTCTCAGAGTCCCCAACGGGGACTAGACTTACTTGCTGCTCAGGCAACGTCTCAGGGAGTAGGAGGCACCCCCACCACAGGTGCGAGAACATTCACTCCAAGGGCCCCAGGCATCCCAGAGGCCTTCACGGTCCTCCTCTGAGCGTGCAGTTCTGGAACTCTGCAAGAAACAAGAGAGGATAAATGGTTAGCATCATGTTCCCTTCAGCCCCTTAAACACCCTTCCTTAACACTGGGTGCCTGTCCCATGATGGTCACACTTGAAATTAAAGCCGGCACTGGATTCTTTCCCCTTTAATAATGCATGTCTATTTGTCTACAAGAGGTATTTGAGTTTAAGGCCACTGGGTGATGACTGGAGAAGATAAAAGACTGCACTAATGGACCAACTGGGAAACAAAGTCTCGGAGAGAGTGGTGTCTAGGTGAGAGGAAGACAGAGGGCACTGAAATCACCTGGACAGTAATTCACTTGCTATCCATCCCTCTGAGGGACTGCTCCCGGAGCATGCGCACACCAGCACGGCTTCCCAAGCCCGACCATGGTGTACGTAACCAGCTTCTTTTATGAAGCAATTTCATTCTCAGGTTTCAGATTTGTTAATTGGTACAATTCTGTGAAATGACTTTAGTAGTGCAGAGACGTTTTCTCCAGACAAATGCATTGGTTTGTTATTTTAAAGCTTCCCCAGGAGAAAGGGCGTCTGCTGTGAATGTGACCGCCGTTATAGTCAAGCTCCGGTGTTGTACTTCACAGGCTCTACAGATGATGTCTGTGCTATAGTTACTAACAAATGCTTCGGGGCTAGAGACAGTGAGTTCGGGTGTGAATTCTGTGCTTTAGTGACTTTTAATCAAATAACTTGTAGCCCCTCCCACACACACACACCCCTAGGTGATTAGCTGAATGATGTTAATTTGAGATTAGCCCTGCAGTCAAGCACACATTTTATATTCTGCAGCAATGTAAATAGGGTTTTACCTGACAGAGGTTTCACTTACAGTCCTAAATCACTGAACAGAGAGCTGAGATGTTTAGGGTAGTGAGCCAAAAACAGGATCGACTCAGCACATTGTGGGAGGATATCCTGGTTTCAGGGCCTCCTGGCTGCAGAAACTTCTACGTAGACCCTTTATGGTTGCTTTTGCATCCTAAAAAATGTGAATGCTAAAAATGCCTTACGCTAATGAATCACTGAGAGGGGTAAAAGCTAACTCATGGAAGCCAAAGTAGGAACAACCTAATGTCCATGCATAGATGAATGCATACAAAATGTAGTACACACATACAATAGGATGCTACTCAGCATTAAAAATAAACCTATTAAAGGGCTTTTGTTTCACCAAAGAAAAGGAAGAAAGAAAGAAAGAAAGAAAGAAACAAATTGTGACCCATGTAAGAACATGGGTGAGCCTTAAAGACAATGTTCTAAGTGAAATAAAGTAGACACAGCAGGACATATACCAAGTGATTCCAATCACATATCTTAGGTAGTCATAGTTTAGACACAAAATATGGAAGGATAGCTATTAGGTATTGAGACAGAGGACCTGAAGAATTGATGTTTAATGTATATAGAATTTCCATTCAGAAAGGTAAAATGTTCCACAGAAGGAAAGTGATTATTGTTGCAATAAAATGTGAATATTCTTGATGCCACTAAATTGTGTGAACTTAAAAGTGGTTACAATGGTCAATTTTAAATACATTTTGTTACACATTTTATATATATATAAAATTTAGCTTTGTTCCTGGTCTTAATATTCTTGGCTTCTTGTTAGCACTCTTTTATCAACACAGCTGGGCCCTGTGAGGCTACAGAAATGTGCTTGCCAGCTGACTGGAATTGTTTCTGTTGAGTGTTGTCGAGGCACTGCCCTCTCCAGGTATCATTTCCCCAAAACCCCCACTTCTCAGAGTCCTGAATCTGTGTTACTGCATTTCTTGGTGGTGTGAGCTGCCAGAATCTGGTGTCATACAGCGTGGGTGACAGAATCCATCAGTGACCTCATAACCCCTCTCCTTCTTAAAGAAGTGAATTCCAAAATCCAATGAGCACCATATTGAGTACTCAGATTCACTGGGTTACCCAGTGCAAGAGAAGCAACCACCAAAGTCACTTCTTTTTGCAAAAAATTATTACATATCTTGGAACACACACTTTATTTGTTTTTTGTGAGCAGATGATAGGATCGTTGAGTTAGTCTTGATTGCACAGAGCTGGAAGCCCGGTTTTTTTTTAGGAGCCCGAGGTTAGAAGAGGAAAACCTTAATTTCTGCCTGGGTTATGGAGAGATCAAAGCTTCCTGAGTAACTCAGTGAGACCTTGTCTCTAAGCAAAGTAAAATGAGGGCTGTAATAGAGCTCGGTAGCAGGACACTTGCCTGGCATGTACAAGGTGCTAAGTTCCATCTCGGCTTCCTAAAGGGGGAGGGGTGCTGGAGAGAGAGATATAGTGGTCTCCTGAAGAACTATTCTGAAACAAATACACATCTTTATGATGGTGCTGCTCTTATCTTACTCAAATATAGCATGACTGAGATGGAAGCAGTAGCCCAAATATTATGATCCACGAAGTAACTGAAATAAGTCAAATGAGTGTGGCAACTTTGATGAGATCCAAATATGACAATAGAAAGATAAAAAAAGAAGACACACACACACAAAAATCCCACTTGTAGCGACTTCATGCAATTGTGTTTCCATGTGAAGTGAGGCCAAATGTGCAGTGTCCCTCTCTGAGGAAGACGCTCAGAGAATGACGGAGAGCTGTATCTTTTTCTGTAAACTCTGCCAATGCTATTTCGTGTGTCTTGTCAAAGGCAACACTGGAAGGCTCTGCAGTGTTGAAGTCAACACTGGAGACTTCCCTGGCTAGATTCTTGCCACACTGCAGGGTAGAAGTGCCATCACAATCAAACATAATAAGCGCTCGCGTTTCTCTGAAAGAGATCTTGTGCTGTCTTGGAAACAAGGCCCAGATCTGTTTCTCAAAGTAGAAGAAATTCCAAGTTCTCTTTTAGTTAAGTAGGATAAACACAGTCTATTTCAACAGCATTTGTGTTTAATGTTAGAGAAAGTGGTTTTCCTCCTTTTACACAGTGCCAGAGATTTACATATACAACCAGAAACAATATTTGAGCATTTCCTTTCAGATCATTTAAAATTCAAAATATTTGCTTATTGCAGTCTTTAGGATAGTCTTCAGACTAAGCAACTTTTGTGTCTGGCCTGATTGAAATCTCGTTTATTTCTCTCTTTTGAATATGCAGCCCTTTTGACATTTTGCCAGCATTTAATTTTTAGCCTAGTGTTTTAGGTTGATCAAATTATTATGTAACACACACAAAAATGGAACCATATACAGACAAACATATAAACAATCTCATAAATACACACCAACATGGATATGTATGTAACTATTGACTCTGAAGCCCATAATTAAAGTCTAAGAAGAAGAACTATCAATTCTAAACTGGCTTCACTTTAGAGCGTTTGAACCACCACAACGATCCAAATTGCAAAATTCTAAAATCTCCGCCTGACTTTGGAGTCACTCTGCTGTTGGACAAGGGCCTGCTGGCTGGTCTTTCTGGTTCAGTTTAGTTCAGATGGATGTGTGGAACAAGGGATTTCTCCTTCGTGAGACAAAACTGTTGATAAGAGGTGGGGGGAGAGCTCTAGAGTGTGCTTCAGAGCAGAAAAAAAAAACATTTTATTTTAATATGGGGCCAAGTTGTAGATTCAATTACATGGCCTCATTCTTTCATTGAAGGCCAATTTGATCTGTGCTCCAGCCAACAGGTACCCCATTTCTAGTTTATTCCCCTGTTTTGACTCATCCTGAGTCACCCACTGAAGCAGTATTGTTTTAAATGTGTAAAATCTGGGTTATATCTTTCTGGAAAACTGAAGCTTGTGGAAAAACAATGGTAGGGAACAGGTGGCTAAAAGTAATGCTGGCTGCTTCAGAAACCAAAACCCTAAGCTTCTCTACAGCCAAGTCAGTGCGTTCCCATTTGGTTCCTACCACATACATGTCAAACTGCAGTCTCAGTGTTTCAGATAGTGATAAACACGATTAAACAGCGCTCATGAGATTAGACCTCGGAGCAGGATAAAATTTCCAGTAGCAGAGTTAGAGGGGACAGACAATACCCTTAACTAGGAACACCAGTGACAGAGATCTAAGTAACAACAATGAAATTGTGATTAAGTCAATGTCTCACCAGTAGGAAAATGATCAAAACGAGCCAAGGGGCCCCCACATCACCAGACCAACCCAAGTTGCATCCGTCATCAGAGAAGCAATTTTTTTTGAACAACAAAGAGTGATTAATACAGGGACTCATGGTAGGTTAAAGTGCAATGCTCAGCCCTAAATGGGATATCTATTTTCACAAGCCCACCAAAGCAAGACTCAGGACCTCATGGAAGAAAAAGAATTTTAGAACTGCAGGTTGGCAAGACTGCGGCAAAATAATGTCTTCTAGGTTTGACAGGGCCTCTGTACTCATACACTATATGGCAGGTGCAGTGCTAGCCTAAGGCTTCACAAGAAGAAGATAGTCGGTCATTCATCACAAAGGGATGGGCTCACTAGTTGAGGAATATTGACAGTTGATGACTACCAAGGACGGGAGAATCAATTCTTTCATCAGGGTGACTGTTGTAGGTGACCAATGCTCCAGTGGCTGTTATCCTACCTCCATATGCACATGGGCAGCACTAACTGGACTCAGTGGGTTATTAAAAAAAGATAAAGTTCTGAAGTTGGGTCAGTGTCTGAGAAGAGTTGGTAGTAGAAGAAAAGCTGTATATGAGACCTAAAGACTTCATATGCATGCATAAAATTATGAAAGAATAATTTTAGAGTCGAAGAGTATTGAACTGAGGCCTTGGAATACTCATTTTGTTTTGGTTAACATGAATAGGAACGGTCAGTGAGCATCTGATTTTTGCCAGCATTGAAGACACCAAGCAAATAACAAGAAAAGGAAGGCCCAAGTCACGATTCTATAATCATATAAAATGTGAGTATGTTTATAAAATTACTCATTAGAAAACATTCTGGTCATTTCTAGGTCTCTGGTGCCATGTATTGACTTTTAAGTGGAATGTTTGGTGAACGGTTTTTTTGTTGTTGTTGGAAAGCTCAGC